GTTATAGCAATAACCATTACTAATTGTAACAGCGAATAACTGTAATAATTTCGCAATCTTTCACTCTCATAAAGTGAAATAAGACATTTCTTTTCTCTCTTTCTCTCTCTCTCTCTCTCTCTCTCTCTCTCTCTCTCTCTCTCTCTCTCTTCTCTCTCTCCTCTCTCTCTCTCTCTCTCTCTCTCTCTCTCTCTCTCTATGTCTGTCTTCTCTGTCTGTCCTGTTCTGTTTTCTGTCTCTCTGTCATCTGTCTGTCTGTCTGTCTGTCCTGTCTGTCTCTGTCTGTCCTGTCCTGTCTGTCTGTCCCTGTCCGTCTGTCTGCCTGTCTGTTCTGTCCGTCTGTCTGCCTGTCCTGTCTGTCTGCCTGTCTGTCTGTCTGCCCTGTCCTGTCTGTCGTTGCTTTCTGTCTGTCTGTCTGTCTGTCTGTCCTCTGTCTATCGTCTCTCTCTCGGTCTCTCTCTCTTCTCTCTCTCGTCACTCTCTCTCTCTTCTCATCTCTCTCTCTCTCTCTCTCTCTTCGTCTGTCTTTCTCTCGTCTCTCTCTCTCTCTCTTCTCTCTAAACCTATATCAACCCTTAATCAAGCCAACAAAATTTACTTCCGGGTCGCAACGGGTTAAAAGGCAAAGAAAATGCATATACTTTTAAGATTATTTCCCGGAAGGTGTTTTAGAAAAAAAGAGAGGTGGAGGGAGAGAAGGACAGGAGGGAGGGGAAGGGAAGAAGGGAGGGGAGGGGAGAGGAAGAGTGGAGGGGAGGGGGAAGGGAGGGAGGGAGAGAGGGGAGGAAAGAGAGGAGAGGAGAATGGAGTGGAGGGATTTGATGGAGGAGGAGAGGAGGAGGGGGGAGAGGAGAGAAGAGTAGTTGGGGGGAGAGGAGAGGACGAGAGGAAGAGGGGGGGGAAGAGGAGAGGTAGGAGAGGGAGNTTCTCTGTCTCTTTTATCAGCCTCTTTGCTTAGCCTCTTTTCCCTCAGTCTCTCCCCTTTCCCTCTTTAACTCTTTCTCCTCTTCAATCCCTTCCTTCGCCCTATCTCTCTTACTTCCTTCCCCCTCCCCCCTCCCCCCGCCCTCCCCCCCGTCCATCTCTATTTTCTTCCATTCCTTATTTATAAGTTTGACATTGTGTAATTTTTATTTTTTCTGTATTTTTTTCTGTTTTTGTATTTGCGATATCATGTTCTTGCTGTTTTTTTCTTCTTTTCCTTATTCTGTGTTCTCTGGTTTTTATTGGTCGTGTTTTTTTTTTTTTTTTTTTACAGTGTTTTTTGTGTCCTTGCGTTATTTGCATTGGATTTCTGTTATGGAATTTCTAATAATCCTATGTTCATATTTTTTTATTTATTTATTTATCTGTGACCTTTATATTTCCATCTTTGGTTATCTTAATTTAATAGTTCCTATCCATTTAATTCATTTCTATATTGTTCATGATATTTTTTTTTTTTTTATCTTTATTTATCTGTGACCTTTATATTTCCATCTTTGGTTATCTTAATATTTCTGTCCATTTAATTCATTCTTATACTGTTCATGATATTCTTTTTTTAAAATTTATTTATCTGTGACCTTTATATATCTATCTTTGGTTATCTTAGCTTAATATTTTCTATCGATTTAATTCATTCTTATGTATATATGTATTTTTCCATTTAATCTTAGTTAAATCCAGTTGTTTATCATTATTTGCAATAGGTTATAAATCCTTTTCAATCTTGACGTTATAGTTTCTTCAACATATTTCTGCTTTTCATTTTATATCAATTCAATATTCTTCATTTCATCTTTAATTCTACGTCTATATCTACTTTTAATCTTTATCCATCTTTTCTTATTTATTTCAATATTCTTCATTTCATCTTTAACTTCACGTCTATATCTACTCTTTTAATCTTTATCCATTTCAGCAGATTTCCTTTTCTTATTTATCTCAATTATCTTCATTTCATCTTTAATTCTACGTCTATATCTACTTTTAATCTTTATCCATCTTCAACATATTTCTGCTTTTCATTTTATTTCAATTTAATAATCTTCATTTCATCTTTAATTCCACGTCTATATCTACTCTTTTAATCTTTTATCTATCATCAACAGATTTACTTTTCTTATTTTATTTCAATTATCTTCATTTCATCTTTAACTTCACGTCTATATCTACTCTTTTAATCTTTATCCAACTTTAGCACATTTCCTTTTCTTATTTCATTTCAATTATCTTCATTTCATCTTTAATTCCACGTCTATATCTACGTCTATATCTTTATCCATCTTCAGCAGATTTCCTTTTCTTATTTCATTTCAATAATCTTCATTCTATGTTTAATCTCACTTCTATATCTACTTTTAATCTTTATCCATCTTCAGCAGATTTACTTTTCTTATTTTATTTCAATTCAATAATCTTTATTTCATCTTTAACTTCACGTCTATAACCACTCTTTCAATCTTTATCCAACTTTCCCTTATCATTATTTCTTGTCCTTTCTGCCTTCTCCCGGGAGCGAAATCCGGCTCACCGCCCCGTCAGCCCCTCAGCCCTCGTCAGCCCCCGTCTCAGCCCCCTCCGCCCCTCCGTCAGCCCCCTCAGCAGTCAGCCCCCTCCGTCAGCCCTCTCCGTCAGCCCCCTCCGTTCAGCCCTCTCCGTCAGCCCCTCCGTCAGCCCTCTCCGTCAGCCCCCTCCGTCAGCCCTCTCAGCCGTCAGCCCCCCGTCAGCCCCCTCCGTCAGCCCTCTCAGCCCCCTCCGTCAGCCCTCTCACCCCCTCCGTCAGCCTCTCCGTCAGCCCCTCCGTCAGTCAGCCCTCTCGTCCTCCGTCAGCCCTCCGTCAGCCCTCTCCGTCAGCCCCTCCGTCCGTCAGCCCTCTCCGTCAGCCCCCTCCGTCAGCCCTCTCCGTCAGCCCTCTCCGTCAGCCCCTCCGTCCCCCTCCGTCAGCCCCTCTCTCCGTCAGCCCTCTCCGTCAGCCCCCTCCGTCAGCCCCTCCGTCAGCCCCTCAGGTTCTGAAATAACTTTGTCCTGGGGCTGTCAGCTCAAGTCAGCCGAGGTTCACATTCTGAACTTGGACAACAAACTTTCCTAATGAGGCTAACCTATAATTCTCTCGCGAATTTTGTGCCGGTCTCTGTCTATCGTGTCTATCGAAGGAAGGGTGTGTGTGTGTGTGGGGGGTGATACAATATGGTGGGGGTGTTTCCAATTTCTTGGGGGAGGGGGGTACAATGTAATGGGTTGTTTCCAATTTCTGGGGCGGGGGGTGGGGGGAGAAAGGGGTGGGGCGGGGTGATACAATATAATGGGTTCTCCAATTTCTGGGGCGGGGATGGGAAGGGGGGGGGCGGTGATACAGCATAATGGGTTATTTCCAATTTCCAATTTCTGGGAGCGGGGTGGGGGATGGGGAGGGTTATACAATATAATGGGTTGTTTCCAATTTCTAGGGCGGGGGGCGGGGTTGGGGGGAGTGGTGATACAGCATAATGGGTTATTTCCAATTTCTGGGGCGGTGGTTATACAATATAATAGACTATTTCTAATTTCCAAGAGGTGATATAACTTGATAGGTTATTTCCAATTTCCAAAAGCTGACATATGTAATAAATTATTTCAAATGCAATATTTCATTTCAAATTCCTAAGAGATGATATAACAGAACTTATTTCCAATTTCTGAGAGGTGATATGATGTAATATATTATTCCAATTTCCAAGAGGTGATACAATGGAATATTTTATTTCTAATGTCGAAAAGGTGATATAACAATCAATTATTTCTAATCTCTCGGGTATGATATGATGGAATGGGTTATTTCCAATTTCTAGAAGGTGATATGATGCTAATAAATGATAGCTATAAGGGTGAAAGTACATAAAAGGGTTTTGGCAACAACGACAAAAGCGATAACAACAGCAGCAACAACTATAACAAAGGACCTCAGATATTAGTCAGGAAATAACACTTATAATAACACAAAAAAAGTAAAAAAAATAAAAAATCAGTGGACGAAATAACAAAAAAAAAAAATAAAAAAAATTGTGGCCGAAATGGCACTTACAAAAAGAAAGAAAAAAAAGAGAAAAAAACAGGAAATCAGTGGACGAAATTGCACTTAACAACAACTATAACAGACAGTGTTTTTTGGGCAGAAAAGTGTAGGAAAAATATGAATGAGACTGAATATCTCCACAACACATGAAATGTATTTTCTACAGCTACAACAAAAACTACAAATATTTATCAGTTGCAGAAATAGGACAACAACAGGAATTACACCAACACTCACAACAACAACAAAACAAGAACAACAACAAAATGACATGACAAAAACAACGGCAATATAGGATTCGATTATCAGGAGCTGAAATGGCACTAATAACACCAATGCAAACCGTAGATATTAGTCGCTCTAACTACAACATTACTAACAACTCCATCATCAACATCAAATACCTCAGATAACACACGTAATAATGACACTGACTAAAAACAAGAACAAAAAAAGAACAAAAACAAGAAAAACAACAGCAAACAACAACAAACCATTAACAAAACAACTGCAACAACAGAAAACAACAAAAACAAGAACCATCAACAAAACAACAACAAAAAACAAAAGAAACAACAACAAACAACAACAGTAACAACAACAAAAAAGAAACAACAGTAAACAACAACAAAAAAACAACAAAAGAAAGAAGAACAACAGTAAACAACAACAAAAAACAGCAAACAACAAACAAGAAGCAACAAACAAAACAAAAACAAGAAACAACAAAACAAGAAACAACAACAAAAAACAAGAAAACAACAAAACAACAAAAACTAGAAACAACAAAAAACAAGAAACAACAACAAAAACAACAACAAACAACAGCAACAACAACGAAGGGTCAGATATTAGTCGCATCAATGGCACTTAACAACAAAATGCTCTTTATAACGAGAATCCCAAGTGATGCCTGGGATTACCCCCCCTCTTCCCCCTCCCCCTCCTCCCAACCCCACCACCCACCCCCTCTGAACGGACATCCAAATATCCCTTTCGGATCATCCGCTGGGTGTGGGGTTTGAGGGGAGGGGGAGGAGGGGGAGAGGGGGGACAGTGAGGGTTGGAGGGAGGGAGGGAGGGGGTCAGTGTGTCTGGGGGGGAGGGAAGGGGAGGGAGAAGGGAGGGAGGGAGGGGGGATAGGGAAGGGAAGGGAGAGAGGAGGGGGGATGGTGGGTTGGAGGGAGAAAGGGAGGGGGATAGGGAGGGAAGGGAGAAAGGGAGGGAGGGAGGGAGGGGGGTAGGGAAGGGAAGGGAGAGGGGAGGGGACAGTGTGGGTTGGAGGGAGTGAGGGAGGGGGGATAGGGAAGGGAAAGGAGAGTGGAGGGAGGGAGGGAGGGAGAGGGAGGAGGGAGGGGGGGGGTGGTTGGTGGGAGGGAATGGGGGAAGGAGTGAAAAGGGGAAGAGATATATGGATAGATAGATAGAGAGAAATAGTGACACAGAGTGGATGAGTAAAGAGAGAGATAGAGATAGAGTTAGAGTTAGAGAGAGAGAGAGAGAGAGAGAGAGAGAGAGAGAGAGAGAGAGAGAGAGAGAGAGAGAGAGAGAGAGAGAGAGAGAGAGAGAGAAAGACACATAGAAAAAGAGAGAGAGAGAGACACATAGAGAAGAGAGAGACGAAAAAGAGAGAGAGAGAAAGACACATAGAAAAAGAGAGAGAGAGAAAGGAGAGAGAGAGAGAAGACATAGATAGAAAGAAGAGAGAGCGAGAGAGAGAGAGAGAGAATGAGAAAGAGCGACACACAGAAAGAAAGAAAGAGATTGAATAAAAGAAAGAAACAAACCAAAAACAGACATACAGACAGATAGAGAGAACCAATGAAAAAAAAGGAGAACTAACAACAAAACACACAACACACTCATCTAGTTTATTTGATCGTATGCGTTAGATAACATCTTCTGCTCTCCAAGGTTCGTTTTCGGGGCAATAGCGCCTCCTAGCTGCTATTGGTCTCAAGTCAGCCATCTCTCTGCTCTGAGTTTGAGCTAATTTTCTCGTTTTTAAAAGGCTGAGTCTAAAAGTTTTTATTTTTTTCTTTGGTTATTTTGTTCTGTTTCGTTTTTTTTTTTTGTCTCTCGTTGGATTTGTTCTAAGACTTTTTTTTTTTTTGGTTATTTTGGTCTGTTTCAATTTTTTTATTGTCTCTCGTTGGATTTGTTCTAAAACTTTTTTTTATTTGGTTATTTTGTTTTTATTTTTTTGTTGATTTTTTTTCTTGTTGCTTTTGCTTTTGGTTCATTTTATTTTTATTTTCGTTGGATTGTAGAGAAAGAGGGGGGGGGGGAAGGCGAAGGTCTTATCAATAAAAGTCTGGGTTAGAAAATTATAAAAAAATGTTTTATTCATCTGCCATAGAAATGTACAACACACAAGAAATAGATATCTCAACAGCCCTTCTGTCGTGGCTCTCTCCTGCTCGTTGGTTGGGCGCGGCGCTTGGCACTTCGCGGCGCCTCGTCAGTGCCGGCGGAGAGGTGCCAGACGGTGCCACATGCAGCGTCTCTGGCTCTTGGGCGCGGAGGTGCGAGTGCCCGCCGGGCCCCGTCGCCGCTGCGAGGGAATCAAGTGAAACATAGGCACACATTTCTCTTATGCTTGTATACTTGTGTTTTGTGTACACGCTTGCACGTACACACACCCACGCGCACACACACACACACAGACACACACACACACACACACACACACACACAGACACACACACACACACACAGACACAGACACACACACACCACACACACACACACACACACGTCACACATCTCCACGCGTATGTAAATGCAATATACTTACACAACAGGAAAAAAAAAAACGAGATGATATCATATATATATATCTAACAGTAATGTACTCAATCTACGGCTACATTTCTTATGTGATAATTCGGATGGTGTTACCGTGTAGACATTGTGTGTACAACTGGAGTCTTAACATTATGCGGTCGCTAAGTGTGTCGTGGGTTGTTTAAGGGTCGGTTGGAAGTCAGCAACTCGGGGGGGGGGGGGGGGGGGGGGGGGAGGGGGACGGGACGAGGGTCGACGATTCCTGCCCGAGGGGGAGGTCTGAGGAGGAGGAAAAAGGGGGAAGGGGGAGGGGGCGTCTCGGATAGGCTTACGTGCTTCGTCTTCTCTCTCCTCTCTCCCTCTCTCTCTCTCCTCGTCTCCTTTCGTCTTTTAAAAATCCGGTTTTCTTTCGCTTTGCTTCTCTACCCTTCTACCCCTCCTTCCTCCATTTCCCTCCCCTCTCTCCTCCATTCCCTCTCCTCTCTCCCTCCTCCTCCATTCCCTCCTCTCTCCTCCATTCTCTCCTCCCTCCCCTTCTCCTTCTTCCTCCCTCCTCCCTCTCCCCTCTCTCCTCCCTCCTCCATTCCCCCCTCTCCCTCTCCTCCTCCATTCCCTCCCTCTCTCCTCCCTCCTCCATTCCTCTCCTCCCTCCCTCCTCCATTCCCTCCCCTCTCTCCTCCCATTCCCTCCCCTCTCTCTCCCTCCTCCATTCCTCCCCTCTCTCCTCCTCCTCCATTCCCTCCTCTCTTCCTCCCCTCTTCCCCCTCCCCTCTCTCCCTCCCTCCTCCATTCCTCCCCTCTCTCCTCCCTCCTCCTCCCTCCCCTCTCTCCTCCCTCCTCCATTCCCTCCCCTCATCTCCTCCCTCCTCATTTCCCCCTCTCCTCCTCCATTCCTCCCCTCTCCATTCCCTCTCCTCCCTCCTCCATTCCCTCTCTCCTCCTCCATTCCTCCCTCTCTCCTCCCTCCTCCATTCCCTCCCCTCTCTCCTCCTCCCTCCCTCTCTTCTCCTTCCCTCCCTCTCTCTCCCTCCTCCATTCCTCCCCTCTCCTCCCTCCTCCATTCCCTCCTCCCTCCTCCTCATTCCCTCATTCCCTCCCCTCTCTCTCCTTCCCTCCCCTCTCTCTCCATCCCTCCCCTCTCCTCCCTCTCCATTCCTCCCCTCTCTCCTCCTCCTCCATTCCCTCTTCTCTCCTCTCCTCCATTCCCTCCCCTCTCTCCCTCCTCCTCCCTCCTCCTTCCCTCCATCTCTCCTCCCCATCCTCCTTCCCTCCCCTCTCTCCTCCATTCCCTCCCCTCTCTCCTCCATTCCCTCCCCTCTCTCCTCCCTCCTCCATTCCCTCCCCTCTCTCCTCCTCCTCCATTCCTCCCCTCCTCTCCTCCCTCCTCCATTCCTCCCTCTCTCCTCCTCCTTCCTTCCCCTCCCTTCCTCTCCTCCCTCCCTCCATTCCCTCCCTCTCTCCTCCCTCCTCATTCCCTCCCCTCTCTCTTCCTCCCTCCTCCATTCCCTCCCTCTTCCTCCCTCTTCCATTCCCTCCTCTCCTCCTCCCTCCTCCTCCATTTCCTCCCCTCTCTCCTCCCTCCTCCATTCCCTCCCCATCTCCTCCCCCTCCATTCCCTCCCCTCTCTCCTCCCTCCTCCATTCCCTCTCTCCTCTCCTTCCATCCCCTCTTCTCCTCCCCTCCTCCATTCCCTCCCCTCCCTCCTCCCTCCTCCCTCCTCCATTCCTCTCCCTCTCTCCTCCTCCCTCCTCCATTCCCTCCCCTCTCTCCTCCCTCCTCCATTCCCTCCCTCCTTCCTCCTCCCTCCTCAATTCCTCCCCTCCTCCTCCCTCCTCCATTCCTCCCCTCTTCTCTCCTCTCTCCTCCATTCCCTCCCCTCTCTCCTCCCTCCTCCATTCCCTCCCCTCTCTTCTCCCTCCTCCATTCCCTCCCCTCCCCTCCTTTCCTCTCCTCTCTCTCCTCCCTCCTCCATTCCCTCATCCATCTCCTCCTCTTCCCTCCCCTCTCTCCTCCCTCTTCCATCCTCCCTCTCCTCCCTCCCTCCATTCCCTCCCTCTCTCCTCCCTCCCATTCCCTCCCCTCCTCCTCCCTCCTCTTCTTCCTCTCTCCTCCCTCCATTCCTCCCTCTCTCCTCCCTCCTCATTCCCTCCCCTCTCTCCTCCCTCTCCATTCCCTCCCTCTCTCCTCCCTCCTCCATTCCCTCCCTCTCTCCTCGCGTCACGACACTGTCCCCGTTCTTGCCTCAAATTCAATTGTGACTCGACTCTCAAATAGATTATCGGTTTCTTCCCCCGTCGCTTAGGGTGCGAGGGACGCCAGGCTCCTTCCAGGCTTTGAAGCTTCCAGGCTTTGAGGTTTCCAGGCTTTAAGGCTTCCAGGGTCTCGGGCTTCCGTTCCCAGCCCTGTGTGCTTGAGGCTTCGCGGTCATCTCCCCGGGGAAGGATTGTCGGAATATTTACAAGGGTTTCCTCATGTCCGAAGGCGCGTATGGGCAAAGGCTTCCGAAGTAAGGGACAAGTGAGACTACCGCCGCTGCTTCGCCCTCGGCAAGGCAAGGAAGTTGGGGTGACTTTGAGGTAAGGTTTTTGATCAGTTCGCTCAGTTCGGTTCTTCGTGTCGTCCGGCGGTCGTGGCGGGAGAGGCGGCCGCTGCGGACACGGGTGTTGGCGGGAAGCTGTCGCGTGTGGGCGCTGCGAGGGGGTCCGCTGCGGCCGGAGGATGAGGGAGTCTGAGGGGTCTGAGTGACTCTCGGCTGCTTGTCTTGGCGGCGAAGAGAGGTAGACGTCGGGGGCGAGGGCGCGCCGGGCGACTCTCGTCCCACCTCCGCCGCCCACTCGCGACCTGCGGCGCTTCGGCGAGGGCGGGCGAGGGCGTCTCGAGGAGGACGAGCGGGCGAGGGCGTCTCACGGCGGGCGAAGGGCGGCGCCCCGGAGCCACGTGACTTTCGGACCTACGACGAAGCTACTTTTGAGGCTGATATGAAAGTAGCAAATGCTCACCTATCACAAAACAACATCTGGACAGATTTCCGTATGATTACGTCTTGGATTCTTAGCCTAATCTTAGCCTAAGATGAGTATATTCTAAAGACCTTGTATTAATATTTCACTATCACAGTCAGTTATCTTTCCTCTTTAGTTTCGTCTGCGCCTTCGTCGGGCGGGTCGGAGGGCGGCG